AGAGAATGAGTGAATTTAATTATCTGTACTGTTATAAATCTGACCTGTAGTTCAGCTTCTGTCCACCAGAGGTCACTAAAGTCCGAGTTCAGCCAAAGAAAAGCTGCTTTATTTATATAAAACAAACATTTATTTCATATATATATATATGTTTTTTTGTTTTCTGCTGCTTCAAATTCAGATTTTGTATCACCAGTTTTTCATTGCTCGCGTCACATTTTCCCTCACCGTGGCTTCATTTTTCAGTGTAGAAGCTCATTAAAAGCATAAATAGTTAAATATGTACAGTATGTTGAGCCTTCTCTGTTTTTTTCTAGTGTTGGTAAAACCTGCAGACACGTTGATTCCAGGTTTGTTTGTTTTTTATATTTTTTGTAAAATACATAAAGAAATTCTGTCGTTTTTCCTCTTATGTGATTTCCATCATTCCATCTGTATAAAAGAAGACGTTTCTCGCTCCTTCTTCATTCTGTTTCCATCGAGGTGACTTTATATAGCAGTGAAAAAGATTTAATTAACATTCAGCCGAATGAGTGGAGGCGTTTGTTCCTGCAGCTGTTTTCTATATGTCCCACTTTGACATGTTGAACTGGAAAAAGGTTTCCTTTCATTAACATTTCAGCGTCCTTCAGCTTTTTTTATAATATTTTTTACATAAAACTGCCCCGTTGGTGTGGCCCGGTGCCATTTATGACCAACATAGGCTTTGATTTTATTGTGATTTTCCACTTTTAATCAGGACACTTTGATGTTTTGCGGTGACTCGTGAATGAGAGATGCGGAGCAGAAAGATTCACAGACGCCTTCAGCAGCAGAAGTGACGATAAAAACAGCTCGGTTGAAGCAGATAATCGTGTTTTTGCATTTTAAAAAAAGACCTCAGAACATATTAAAACATCTGTCAGAGATAAAAGAGGCAGTTTAGGTGTAGTAAACACTAATAATCCTGTGAAACGTCGGCCGTCTTAGCTGCTAACAGGCTGAGCTGCTTGTGAACACGTTGCTGTTTTTATCGTGTATTTGGCTGTGACATCACCGCGCCCCTGAGCCAATCACAGGCCTGCTCCTGGACGCACTGTTTGAACTCGAGACACTCACACGCACTTCTTGAAGGAGGACTCGGGGCCGCTGTAGATCCTCGGGCTGCTCGGCATCCCATAATCTGCGGAGACACGTCGGCGTTAATAACAGCGTCGCCGTGACGGACTAATGGCAGCGTGTCTCTGGCCTTACCCAGCTTGCTGGACTCGGAGCAGCTCCTCTTGTTGCGGGCGGCGATGGGAGGCGGAGGAGTCGTCTTCCTGTTGGCCGTCAGGCTGAAGAACACCTCGGCCTCCTCCTCATCCTCCCCCAGACCCTCCCCTCCAGCCGGGGGAGGCGGGGGAGGAACGCTGGGAGCTGGAGGAGCAAAGAGTTTTATTTGCAGACTAAATGAAAGAAGCGAGGTTTCTGTTTGATCGTGTGCCAGTGTAAATGTTTTAAGCCTTTAAAAGTCGAGTCATCTTCAAAAGAATCTCCAGAACGACACCATTTATCAGAGCTAGGAGCTGTAAAAACACAGAAGCACTGGATTCTTCTCAATCGTCTTTGACCGACTCATCTGTTCTGTCGGAAAAACGATCAGAACTGAGCTTGAAAATGAGATATTTCATTAAAAAATCATTTCATTCTATGTGTCTCCTTTAAAAAAATGCAAAAAATTAGCTGTTTGCAAGAATTCTGTGCTTCTAACCTCAACTGAGCCTCCATCAGTGATTCAGCTGCGACCAACAGTCACAAGACAAGATTTCATGATCATTTCAGGCTGAGCTGCACACAGAGCATGAAAAATACACAAAAATGTAAAGAGTTGAATATTATTACTATCTAGAGTCTCCATTTTCTCTGGTGTTGGTAAAATCTGTGGACACGTCTTATTTTTTTTTGCAAATTTTTAAAAGAAACGTGTATTTTGCAGATTGAGATTTTATAAAGGACATTTTTAGGTTCAGTATGAGTTCAGCTGTTTAACCATCTGAACCCAGGACGGCCTTTTCTGCTTCTGGCACATTTCTCACTGCGATATAAAGTCCTGCACCTCGATGGAAACAGAACCATGCAAAGAAATTACAGTTGATTTATTTAAATAAATTCAACATGTACATTCTTTTTCCAAGTTTCCACACGTGTCACCAACAACGGAAAAACGGTACAATATAGATATTTTACTATTTGCATTTGTCATGAGTTTCCATTCTTGTCTTGTCTCTGCTCTGTGGAAACACATCCTGCAGTTCAGCTGAAAAGTCCCTGATTTTTTGTCACCTACGTGTTGCTCGCAGCCGAGTCACTCATGGCTGCCTGGCTGCGTAGAGGAGCTCAGAATTTTTTGGCTTTTACAGACTCTGGTTACGGCAAAGGGTTTATTTTGGGGGGATTTTTTTTAATGAGACATGTAGAATAAAGTGATTAAAAATTATGATTCCAAGATTGGTTCATTTTGACAACAGCACATCACAGACGAGTAGTTCATGGACCATCGGAAGGCTGAACTTCTACAAATATTTCTGATTTTACAGTTTCTTTCTCTGATAAAAGATGTAATTTTGGTGATTTTTTTTTGTAAAGATAACATGCCTGACGGTATTATTGAAGTGAATGTAAACAGCATCAGCAGAGTGACGACCACTGATCATGTCACTGCTGTAGAAACGTACATTATGCTGAATTTACTGAGCATTACTGAGTGTTTTAAAGGCCTTCATCTGTAGCCGACCTTCATTTGCTGATGCTGTTATTTGAATATCAGCTTTTATTTTAGGATTTCTGACACAAAAGGACAAAAACATTGAAGTGTATCATCTGCATAAAAGCTAAAACAACATAGACGTGAGCTGACCTTTGACCCTGGGGGGCAGCGGGGGAGCGGGGGAGGACGGTGGCGGCGGCGGCGGGCTGGGGGCGGAGCCAGACGGGCGGCTGTGGAGCTCCATGGCCATGGCTAACCTCCGGCCCACGCTGAGGAGGCCCCCGGCTGCCGGTCCTGGAGCTGCCGAGGAGGCCGGAGCCACCGAGGAGGAGGAGGAGGAGGAGGACTGGCTGAAGATGAAGGGCCGCGAGGAGAAGGAGAAGGAGGGCGTGAAGGAGGACGAAGAGGAGGAGAAGCGCTCCTTCTTCACTGGACCGTTCTGAAAAAGACACACCGAGATGTTGGTTTAGTGAGTTCTGTTCAGGTTCTGACTCCATCCGGCTCCGACTACGAGGAGAAAACAAAACAAACTAGACATTCAAAAGACAAACGACTTTAAGAATCTGCTTTCTGCAAATAAATCCAATGAGAATGAACTGACTGAATGTTTCCCTCGACTTGTTGGTACAGATCTGATCACATGTTGTTAAATTTCAGCGTGAAAACATGGAAGCAACTTGTTAAAAAAAAAGACACAAAATGAGAAAAACGAGACACGAAACCAAAGAAAGGAGAAAAAAAAACATCCTAAAGAGACACAAAATGACACAAAACAACAAAAAAAAAGGACACAAAATGACCACAGCGAGAAAAAATTGCACAAAAATGAAACAAAACAAGAAAAAAAGAGGCACAAACAACGACACAAAGTTAACACAAACAGACAAAACTGTCCCCAAAACACACAAAACTACTAAAACAAAGAGCGAAACATAGAAGAAACTTCTAAAACGTGACAAAACTGTCCCAAAGAGACACAAAATGACACAAACA